ATAATAATAATAATAATAATAATAATAATAATAATAATAATAATAATCATAATTATAAAAATAACAACAACAACACAAAGAAAAATAACAAACTTTTAATTTGATTATACCTATCAGTGGTAATTCAGAGGCAGGTGGCATTGTTTCGCACACCATATTTAGGAAAAATGTAAGCGATAGTAAAACCGTAACTCCTGCTCACCAAAAAAAATAAAAAAATTTATTATGATTTAAATAATTATCGAAATTATTACATATTATTAAAAAAAAAAAAAAAAAAAAAAAAATGATATATATTATATATTAATATAAAATTTTGTTGTTTACACCGCGTTTGGTAAGCTGAAAAATATGTACTTTATTAATACAATTTTGGGAACCCGGTCTCCAGTTCCTCTTGAGCTATGTTATTATTAATCGTTCTACTATGTTATTCAATTGTGATAAAATTTACATAAGTAAAGAGACAAGATTTTCAGAGTATATTAAAATAATCAACATCAACACATTTATTTTTTCAGTTACAAATGTCAACATTACTGTAATCCCCATTGGCTTTGTAAAAGTTTAAAATTAATTTTTGTAACACGTTACAGAAATATATTTTCAACAAAACCTACACAAATATATTGAAATAGCGACTATCTGAAGAATTCTTGTATACATTTATATAAGTTTATAAGAAGCAGTTTATCATCTAAAAAATTGTTCGACAGCCTGCTCCATTCATTCACATCTTCAAATATTAATTAATATACGAATATATACGTATTAGACAATTATACGTTGTGAAATTGTTGAAGACTCTTAAAAATATGAACGTTAAGTTACACACTATTGAGTAAAATACTTATTGTCATTTATAAAGAATTTTTTTTTTTTAAAGCACTTTGAAGCAGAAATTCAAAAAGTTGTATTAAAATATTTTTACATTAGCATTTTAAAGAATAAAAAGTGAATTCGACGTTTGATGATTCCACGTTTAGTTATCAACGCACTAACTTATTGACAAACAAAAAATATATTTGTTATATCATCGCATTAGTCATAAATAGATGAATTTATTTATATTAAATGAACCTTACTGTTACAGTGATGATCACTTTTAAATGAACTTTTAAACTAGTTGAGAAATTAATTATCTAGATATTATTGCAGTATTAAAAATATGTATATTAATTTTAAATTAAAATATATTATATATTATATATCAAAATAAAATTTTGAATTTTAATTTTTTTGGTATATAATATTATTTTTGTTTAAATTAATATAAAATCATATCTTATAAATGGTTGATTTTATGAAAACGTATATTATTATTGTACTGATATATTTTATCGAAATTCATTCATATTGTGATATGTTTTGTTTTTGTATAGAAATTAAACTCATAACAATATAGTATGACTTGTCGATAAACACCTAGCACGCAATCAGGAAGAATAAATTAAATAAAAACAAAATAATAATAATCGTATTATTAAAATAAAATAAATAAATAAAAAAATAAAAGTAAATAAAATAAAAATATAATAATAATTACAACAGTAATCATAATATAATAAAACATAGAGCACTTAACATTTTTTACCTCAAATGTGTTTGTGAAAAAATACAGTTATAAATTTTACAATATATGTATATATATGTATATATATGTGTGTGTATATATAAATTCATATATAAAGAAATAAAAAGTATGTACTCAGCGCGTTTCGTTTACCAGTGTAGCGGTCGTTTTGTGTGCCCTCCTTAGCCAAGTCGTGTGTGACCACGATAAAAAATATATAAAATACGTCATATTAATATTTTCGTAAATCATAATATACACGCATTGAATATTCGTATTGAGCATATTTGTATACTGTATACAAAATTCTTTGTTGTTCGTGCGTTACCTAAAAGAGGAACTGCGTCCGAAGTAGCCGGCATTGTCTCGGCCACCATGTTTAGGAAAACGGTCAACGACAGAAGAATCGTTACACCTTTAATTAAAAAAATTATATTTCACACGTCTATTATTATAGAAGAATAACAAAACCAAACATTTGATTAGAAAACAAAAATTAATAAATAAATAACAATTTCATCGTGTAAATAATAATAATAATAATAGTAATAATAATAATAACAACAATAATGATAATATTTTCCGGCCCTAAAACTAGAGAGGACGTATCGTCGAACCGTAGTCACTATAAAGCCTGTCTCATATACACCATAATTTAATTATGGCATGATAAGAAGTGTTAAATTATGACATTATATATATATACATACATATACAAATAAATTGATGTATGACATAGTTTTTTTGTCTATTCGCTGACGTTACACCTAAATGTATAGTCAGTGTGATACAAACGCACATGAACGTATACGTATACGTATACGTGTGTGTTTGTGAGTGTGAGTGTGTGTGTGAGTGTATGTGTTACATACGTTGATATGTATTTATATATATGAGTGTGTGTAAGTTTACATAATGTGCGAGTTTGTACGAATGTACCTAAGGTCATTTTTTCGCCACAATCTGAGGGCAGCATGAACCCAAGCATGGCCATTGCGGCCAACGTTACGCTCGGCAAGATCAGGTTGATGATGTAATAAACTGTTCTACGTCGAATGAATACGGTAAAAGTAATATCCACGTACGGATTCGGGCAACAAGAGTAGTTTCTCAACCGCCTCACAGTTTTCTGGTCTGTAAAATATTGTTTTAAACAAACAAAAAAAAAAAAAAAAATCCAAAACAAAAAAACCCCGAAAACATTATAAAATGACACAAATAAAATTACTACAAAAACGCAGAGCTCGATAAATCTCCTCCCCAAATAACCCACACAATTGCACATACACACATATACCCTAATACGATTTTGACGTAAATATAAAATTATTTTTGTATGTGCGTGCATATGTGAGATAAATCTTTTTTTTGTGTTTAAACGATATAAAATTATCGCGCAAGTCACGTCTCTCTCACACATGACAAGGTTTTGCGTCGTTGTAACGTAACGGTTGAAAGAAAGTCATGCAGGCAATTAAATAGAAATTTGGGCTCGTGTGTGGGTGGCGAGTAATGGCAAGTAAGGGACGTACTTTATATCAAATCCAGGATCGTACTAGTTTCTGATTCTTACGTTTTTATCACCACAGTATCATTGTTCAGTTATTTATTATTATTATAATATAATGTTAATTATATGCTTGAGTCATATAGCATTACAAATCTACGGACACAAAATCGAAATATGAATCTACAATTCCTGGAATGTATTGCACACTACCGTTGTCGGTATGTCAGGTGGTTTGAATTACCTAATTCCTCGCTTTAGATATACCCAAGAAATCAATTTATCATAAGAAAGGTATATGTTATTTGATTTCCACGAAATCGAAAGATAACATTTTTTTTCGAATAGTTACAGTTTTGAATGACATATATTTATGGTTGAAATGTTATAGAAAAGTAGCCAAAGCTATATCGATCAAATATACTAAGGTTATTCATATTATTGCTTTTCTCTCATTTCAAAATTATATGGGATAAAATTAAATTGATTGAGGTTAATTATATTTTTATTAAATATAATATGATAATAGTCTTAAATGGTTACATAATATTATAAATACAAAATTAGGTTTTGTTCATAAGAATTGGTGAGCACGATTAATGACCATCAAAAAGTATTTAGTGTACTTTGGTGATTTTGGAAAGTACTTGTTTCTACGGAGAAGAGACAAATTTTTCCGCTCAACCACTTAATCCTTAACCTTAAATTATTTAAAAAAATGAACTTTTGTCTTTTTTTTTAAATATTATTTTCAATACAGAAAAAGCGTGAGGGGACGGGGGTGGAGAGAGACGTGAAAAATCTGAAAAAAGTACATGATAAATAGTTACGTATTAATTATAACACACAAACATATATTTTATTGTATTAATTTTACTGTAAACAGTGACCATTATGTTAGTGACTCAATATTGTAATCGGTACACTCATAATGCTACGCTTAAGACTAGAAAAAAATATTGAAAAATATTCTCGTTATCAATAGGCATGATGTTAGCGGTAATTTTTACAATAAGCAACAAAACATTATAATATACAGTTTAAAATTATATATTATTACTAGTTATAGGTACGACTATTAATTATTTTATTTCGTTTACCTAGAGAAAGTTTTTCGCCGCAGTCCGGCGGTAGAGTAAATCCTAGTACGGCCATAGACGCAATCAACACGCACGGGACTATCAAGTTGAAAAAGTAATACAAGGTGCGCCTTCTAATTAATATAGAAAACGTAATGTCTATGTACGGTTCGGGGCAGCAACTGTAGTAGATCACATTGCGCTTGCCGGGAACGCCTGCCAAAAGGAACAGTCACAGCGTGAAGGAAAACATTTAAAAATATTAATAAATATAAAATTATTAATCGTTAACGGTTATTAACGACCTTATATTATTAATCGAGTAACGTTCTGGACCGTCATCATTTTTTTTCTCCCACTTTTTAAAGAGCTTTAGATAAAGTTGTATGATTATTATACGCACAGTGTGCGAAGGACGAGAAGGCTGCACTTTTAATCCGTGATATTTCGCGTTGACAAAACATTAAATACTTTTCCATTCCAGTAAACTTCAAATTGCGTTCTTCGACAGATTTATCTTTTTGCTTATGTTTTATAAATCATAATATGTCTCTTTCGAACGGTTTTACTCGGGCACGTAAAACATTAAATTTTTTATTCGATCTGACTGGTAGTGTATTTAACGGATTTTCGACAATAAGGTTACCTCATCATATTTGAGTCCAAGATCAATACATGAGTATAAGTGACACGTACATGGGTATGTGTTTGTTCAAAAATGAGTTTCGAAAGAATACCCGAAAAGATCTTACAAGTGACGAACGACATTTTTTTATTCATTTTTTATTCCCATTGGAAGCAAACTATTCGTCGTCCATCATTTTAGTAGTTCCTAAGGATTTTTGTTTAAACCTGAATGTTACTACTATGATATGATATGACATACATTTTAAAGACGGAATATAAGAAAATAAAATATTAATGGGTAGTTGAAATTATAGAGCGTGTATATATCATGTAGCATCATGAATTTCCAACATGATATTATGATGTTCAACAAACAACATAAATTTGATTACATTTTTTTTTATTAGCATTTTATATTGAGTATCAATAAATTATTAACTGCCCAAAATGGAAATCTAATAAAATCGTATGTATGAAATAATAAAAACACGGACACGCATATTTACAATATTGTTAGTTCTTTGTTGTGTTCTTATTATTTGAACAAATTTGACCGAAATATTAAATAATCTTTACTTCTGAAAAACGATTTTGAGTTTAGTAATAATATGTTTATGAAATATAGTATTTTATAGATTTTTATTTTTATACACAATATTGACTTGTGATAAAAGGATTTTATGTTTTTGTGTTAAAATTATAACTTTTTTTATATTGATAAACTATTGAGAAAATCCAAAAGTCATAAAGGCATAAATAAAAAATATATGATGCCAATTTTTGATCTTCCAAAATTATTTATGAGATTACAGGTTTCTCGTTTGAAAAATCTTTTTCAAATCAATAAAATCAATTTTTTTAAAGTTAGCCTTAATTTAAACTCAACAAATAAAAACTGATTTTTTCAAATTTTTTGATTCTTTAAAATTAGATAAATGGAAAGTTTTTAAGTTTTACATAACGGATATTTACCTATTTGTCATAATAAATATAAATACTTGCTGAAGAAAAAATTTTGGTTCAGTATTGAAATTTGATTATAAATTAGTTGTAATTGTGCATGTAGGAATAAATTACGATTTACCAACATGACTTAATTTTTGCTGTGAACACGATTATTTTTTATCCAAACAATTTAAAAAAATTAAAACTACCGAATTACCTATTATGAAATACATAAAACAACAAAGTGTCGTATAATGATAATTTTTGGGAAAATTTAGATTTAGTAGATAGTAGGTAGGTACGTAAATACTAATGAATATATTCTATAGCCTAGACGGTCCAGACGTAATATTTTGTTTACAAAAAATAACGATCATATTATTTATCCTTTATGATTAAACAAAATTGTACAAGTGAATCAAACACAATATCATTGTAACACCAAAACATACACAAAAAAAAAAAAAAAAAAAACACCATGCAATACAATTTACCATGTAAATCGTCTATGAATTTAATAGGAATCACTATATACTAGGGATAAAACTTATCATTATTGGATCACCTTATTATTTAATAAATAACTATAAGTTATTTTTTTTTTATAAAACAAGGAGTTCAATTAATTTTGAAGCACTAATAATTACAATTTACTAAGCATGCTCTAGATTAAAAAATAAAAAAATACGAGTATGCCAACTAGATCTAATATTGTGTAACGTTTTATTTCTGATAATAGGTTTATTCAATACTAAGTTTAAACTATAGTTTGTGTATTAATCGACTTAAAACAATTACATCATATTATTAAAAATAAACTAATTAGGTACAAAATAAGTGTTTATGTTGGTTGTACGTAATAGGTATTTAAGTGTCATTACTGCTGTGTAGAATACTTATATGTTGTTATACATTAAGTTTGATGAGCATTAAATGTTAATTATAAGTGGTGGATTCAAATGTCTTAGAGAGTAACAATTTTTTTAATTAATTTTGAAATATAGTTTCTGATTAATAGTTATTGGTGTGTTTTTGCATTTATCAACAAATTTAAATAATTATTTTGTCTGGCTGTTATTATATTAACAAATTTTCATTCATCAAAATAAATATCTTAAATTAATTGTAAAATACATTCGTTTTTTAATTATGTTTTATATCGAATACAATTATCGTATAAATTTGATCAATGAAATACATTTATAAATCTATAAAATGTTAAACTATAAATATATTGAAATTTTCGAGATCACGAATTTACCAATAGTAAATATATGATTGAATTCACCACTCGTATATGTTTCGTATATCATGCTTTTGAAATATATGTGCTTTAGTGCAAAATTTATGTTTTATATTGAATATTTATACTTTTGATTAAATTAAAATATATTTTATTCTCTAGAAAATCATTATTTATTATTATTATTGTTTTTTTTTTTAAATTTTTTTTGGAATGATTGGAATCAAAGGAAAAACGACTTTCAATAAAGGATATATAAAAAAAAGGTAGCCTAATCAATATTTGTCAAATTACATTTAAAATTGATAGTGTTTTAATTTAAATTTATTTTATTACTACTGACTTATCTGATCTTGGAGAATATTAATGAAATAGCGCGATTTTTCATTGCAGGTTGAAATACAAATATACATTTTGATATGTTTTTTCATCCATTCAAAGACATTAATGACCAATAAAAATGAAAATTTTTGGGTTTTTATAATTTGTGAATTGAAAATTGAAAGACATAGTTTTAAAAGTCATTTGAAAATTATTATAAATGGAAAAATTAATTTTGATAGTAAAATTGAAATTAAATGTTATAAAACCAAAATATATGATACAAACATAAACATTTTTCAGTAAAATGCCAATTTTAGTATAGCTGTGATATACTCTATACCATTTTTCCTGAATCTTAAAACTTAGAAGTATCTGTTTAGATTTTATATGTTGTATAGGTTAACTAATAAAAAGCCAAGGTAATTATTTTAAATTGTTAACTAAAAATACTTTTAATAGACACATTTAAAAAAGTAACTGAAACTCCAGAAAAAATGTAAGATTACTTATCTGACTAATATATAATATATTAATTTTATTTTTATGGATTATGTTTTCTATTTAATAGTGGTATAATGGAAATTTATCATTTAAATTAGATATAGTGATTGAAATAATATTTAGATTTATAATTTATGAAATACATTATGGCCACTACAAAAAAATAAAATGTTTGATATATATGAATTTATAAGTTTTTGATATGCATGTATAGAGTTTCAGTTATCCATTATACGTTGGCATAAGAATACGATTTGTCTAAATTAATTGTACTTTTATAATTCTACATTACAATGTGTCTAAATGATGCTAGATATACCTATTTTACAGGTTGAATGTTCTATCTATAATATGATGTATAGTTAAATTCAAAACTAGTTATTTTTGATTTGTATGTATATATACATATATAATTTTATCGAATCCGTGGTTTGTTGAGAGAAAATAAAAGTAGAATTTAAATAAATATGGTACAAAAATTGACTTTTTTTTTCTTTTTTTTTTTTACTATATATCATTAATTGCTCTCAAAAAATCACATATAAATCTTAAAATCAATAAAATAGATAATAATTAATAATTATATTATAAATAATGAGCATAAATTAAAGCGCGATAATTTTCAGAATGATCGTTTTGTTGTTACTTTTTTTTGGTTTGCTTACCAAGCAGGTCCCATTCACCGTTAGTAATAAAACCACTGATGTCCCCTCCATTATCGTCTTGTAGTTGAAGGTCCAACTGAAATACACAATAAAAGCGATTGGAGAAACATCAAAATGCACCGGAACCTACGTTTACATCGATGAAAGTGAATTTCACACTCGTCGGACTACAAGCTCAATCACATTTGTAAACATGTTATTAACAATACACTTGGTTTTATACACTATGGACAGACAAAAGAAACAAGTCCATATACCCAGTGTTAATCACATGTTGTTTTGTTGTCACAATATCGTGTTACGTCGATGTCAATAATTATTTGTATATTAAATTTTCGACAATGACAATCCTTTAGGCGTTAAACATATCTACGTCTATGCCCGCATAACACGCATGTTTAATTGGTTTAGCGACCGTAGGACGACAACGAGTCGCGAAACGCGAAATGCATACCGACAGGTAGGACGAGAAACGAATAAAAAAAACTCGAAGAACGGCATCGGCAAGAATGTCCATAATAATATCATTCTCCACCCTCGTTACCGGGTGACGGTTCGAGTGAATATCGTTTACCTGAAATCCATCATAGGTCCAACTGCCGAATTTCATATCACATTTTTGATCGTCGAACGGAAACCACGTGATGTCAATCTTGCACGTACTTTTGAAAATTCCCGGAGGTATGAAAACACAGCTACCGTTGCTGTTCACCACGACGTTGGTCGCGTACGTGCCGTCGAAACCCTCGTCAGCACTAGAACACGCAATTTGCAGGAAATGTAGTTCCATACATTATATTATTATTATTCCCGTGACGATATTTTGATAATGGTGGTCATGGCGTTATTATTATACTTCACAGTGGTAGGTAACATTCCTACCTAACTAAGTTCATCTAGTTGTTCAACGAGGTTATGACGAAGGTTTTATTTTTTATTTTTTTGTTCAAAGCTTATGGTTGTAACACTAAAACCTGGTATTAGTATTTGTTAATGGCTTGAGTTTCACGAATGTACACAGGCAAACAAATTGTGTTCAATCGTTTATAGGATTCGATTTTTCATAGCATGTTTGGGCGACTCAGTTTCGTATTATTTCTATTTTTGTTTTGGGAAATACAATAGGATGTACGATCAAACAATTAAAAATAAAATAAAACACAGATGAATGGAGCAAAATTTAATTTCAAAGCAATTTTATAATTTTTTTTCGTTTATATTTTAAAATGCATCCAAAATCGATTAGTACAAAAGTACGATTGCGATAAATAATATATGTATGATATCATACTTGGTAAAACCTATTCATGATTTTTAAATATTACTGTGAATAGTTATTAACTATTAAGATTGAGGATTTGTTTGTTAGTTATTAATTGGAAACGAAAATGAAGGACCGAAACTACTAGGTCGGGTAAGACTCCACGTTTAGGTGAGATACAGAGATGAGTGAATGAAATTGCTGTATTGATTTTTTGAATTTGAAACCCATTGATTTCAGAAAAAATGATTTTGAGTGAAAGTGATCTACTCAATCAGTTTATATTTTTAATGATGGTTGGTTTTGTAGTAGAACCAAATTTTCTAAGAGATAGGTTGAACTTTTAATATTTTAACTTTTGTAAAAAAAAAATAAAAGGCATCTAAAATGTAGAAAAATTAAAAATGCCAAGTACCAATAAGCAGCAAATCTAAAAACAGCTATGTTAATAACATAAAATACTCAAATCTTCATGTTCGTGAAATTTTGAAAAAAAACAAGATTAAATATGATTTGCTCTCATTTTTGGGTTATATGTTTTCTTGACTGTGTTTTATTGTATATTAATCTTATAATTTGACAAACAAAATTTTAAAACTTTTCATATAGCTACTCTAATATCGCTACTTTAAGAAAATATTACTATATTTTTCGAATGATTTATTTAACTCATATTATTTCAGTGGTTTGTTGTTCAATTTCCTTTGGTTGGACTTATATGTCACATACATCTGTATCCTTAGTATCCTAAACTATCTCCACTTGGTTGATTCTCAAACTTTAGCACATTAATTTTGACCCTTATCTTTTATGTTCTTATACGTTTTGACATAATAGTATGTAGACAATTTTGTTTCTAAGTTTTTCAATCCTTTATTTTTATTATAAATATGGGTTGTTTAAGTTCTCCCAAGCATATCATACTATAAATCGGCAATCAAGATCCTGTTCAATTGTCTCGGGTGTGTTTTATGTTTCTATTATACGATCTGAAGACACAACAATCCTCTAGTTCAACTTAATTTTTCATACACACAGTTATTTTTACTATAATTTTTATGTACCTATTTATATTTTAATATTCAATTTAGCTTCAATTTTATTTAAAAACAAATACACCACGTTAAATTAAATTAAATATCTTGAATTCCTGGAATTTTGCATTTGGAGTTTAACACAATAGATTATTGGCATCGCGTTTGGTATTCAAAATCTTCAAATATTATTAAACTATTTTGGTTGCGCTCCAAGTTTTATGTGTACCATTCTCTTAATATACTCCTCCCCCAACACCTATCACACTGTTTTAAACCACTTCGTCCAACCACCCGGAAACCATCAACGTCTAGTTACCCATGTCCGACTGGACCCATAGCGCACGTAACTCGATTCGTTCTCAAAGTGAACAAAAGATAAACGTCCGAAATTTATCATTCGATTATATTGTCGCACACCCGTTATATTAAATAAACGTGATATTATGTATTTATGTAAGTATGTTTGTATGTATGTAAGCATGTATGTGTATGTATGCATATGAATGTATGTGTTTGTATGAATATATTAATGTAATGTATGTACCCACCTATTGTACATGAGCATATCTGGTTTCCATATCTTATGCGGTGGTATCCTCAAATCCTTCACACCGCCGTATTCACTGTGGTTCCACCTGAGGTTGACATCGTTCCATTCCTAATAAAAAATAGAAACAAAAAAACAATGATAAATCGTATCACATCGTAGTTTGTGTATGGTTTCGGGTCAACCGTGTTTCATATCGTATAAAACTACTATTATACTATGTTATAATATTGTGGTGTTCAATTTTATAGCAATATAAAGTACCACTATTGTATATTTTAGCAATAAAATAGTATCCGTAAATTGTAAATGCGAATATTCTAAAATACTTGTATGGTTTCCATATTATTAAAAGGGCTTTACGCCAATATTTCGAAATTGCATTTTACAGTTAAACATCTACTTAAATATAATGCAAAGGAATAGAAAAACAATAAATCGGGTCATTTTCATTAGGCATAAGAATTCAATGGAATTATTAACAAACTTTTTACGAATATTAAGTAGAATTTTTACTATAGAATCAATTAAAATATAAAATAACGAAGTCAATGGCCCAACTGCAATGATAAATTCTAAAAAATGAAAAATAATTATGGGTTTCTAAAGTATTATTACGCAATTAAATTATATTTTGAAAAATTATAATTTAATTTGTTTTATAAATTTGAAAAAAAAAACATTTATTCAATACAGCTTTTACATTTATTTATAACTAAATGAGGGAAAAACATACTCGTATAAAAACACACAAGTGCTTTGAGATTAAGTGAGTATGATAATACATACGAGTATATGAATTTTTATATATATATATATATTAATTACTTTTATTTCATTTAAAATTGTTTAAATTTTTGTCTTGAATGGGCTTACCTAGAAAACAACTTTTTCGTTCTTTGTTTGTCACATGGTAACACTATATGTGTGATTAATCGTTTATGTTTCTATTCGTTTTCATGATTTAAGTGAAAAGACGGAAGTACAAAAAAAAAAAAAATCATGACGAATGGTTTTACGCCTATATATTATTATTATTATCACATATTACATTAATCAAGACAAAACTTTTTGTATTTATTTGTAAGCTACGGAAAAAAAATCGTGTACTTATGAGTGTACCAAAATGGATATTACACTTATTCCTGATAATAAACCTTTTCTCTCAGCTTCACTGTAGAATCTAAATTATTTAACTTTAAAACCATTGTATTGAGACACGTTTTTGTATTACTTAAGTAATAGAAATAATATAATAATATAATAATATGTGTGACTGTTAAGAAGTTTTTTCACTTTTGACCCCATTTATATCGGTGATAATTAAATTAAATATAACAAAGAGTTTTAAAATAATTAAACTATATGAAATTATAAGAGATAAAAGGATATATATATATTGATTTATATATGGTATATTACAAAATCAATTAAACATCATTATTATTATTGAAAACAAGCCTATTATTTATTGATTTTTTAATAAAGTAAGTAAAAAAAAAAATTAATTAATGTTTCTCTTGGCAATTTTTATTATTTTTATAATGTATTTTTTTCAGAGATACAATACACCAAGTTATTTTTTCGCTCATATTGTCAACTCAATCATTCGGAGTGTTACTAGAGTTGATACAATTTTTGTGACAGTATTGCGAATAGAAGATAAACAATGAAATGTTCTATTTCATATAAATGAAGACAGTGAACTAAATTTCACTAAATCTTATGTCTTAAGCTTGAAAAAAAAGTAATTTTGGATAAGTCCTGACCAAAAAATTATGACACTATAAAAATTGGATTGCATATTATGTAAATTTTTATATTTTGATTATTTGTTGTAAATGAATAATAATTATTTATTTACAACAAATAATCATAGTAATAATAATTAATAATATAAATATATTATTCATATACAATATATATAGGCTCGTATTTAAAAATTTGGTGCCCCCGGCATATAACTTATGCCCCCTCCAAAAAAAAAAAAATAAAAATAATATTTCGTCCATAATCGAGATTCTTTAATATTAAAATATAATTTATAAATGAAAATTGTTTAATACTTTTTTTAATTTACAAATTATTACATAATATGACAAACTATTTTCTTATTTTTTTTTTTTCATTAGATACATTATTTTTAAAAATTGTTTTGCTAAAATATTTTGCCGTCTCTGAGACTTGATGCCCCCAAGCATGTGCCTACCCATGCCCCCCTAAATACGGGCAGGAATATATATAAATTATATATTAATATATAAAATTTATTGGATATGCTATTATTAATGTATATCAGTTCAACATTTTTTCGAATGGTTCTTCGCAAAAAAATCACCCATAGCTATTACCCTTGTTAAATACTGATTTCATATCAAAACCATTAATTTATAGAGCACTTCAATGTTTCGAATATATTAAAGCTGGAACTAATTTATTTTCAAAGCAATGAATTAAACCAAGTATCAATTATTTATTGAACCAATATTAACTTACCAATTTTAACCACATGTTTGTAATCAACAGTTGATTTTTTTTCATCCTGAAACAAAAAAACGAAATTCATAATAGTACTAATGGCGTATTTTTCATATTACTTTAAGTTTTAATACTATTGTATGTGTTTAAAGAAAGAAAAAAAATGTCGATTCAATTATTTGAAAATATTGTGTTATCAAAACTGTCTGTTGATATAGAAAAATTCGACGGTACTAAAATGTATTATGTATAGTTATAAATATTATGTTTTTCAACATTCAACCTCTTTTAAAATAGGTCGATACATCTACATTCAGAATGCTAGGTACCCGGGGTAACTGACGTTTACAGTCTGAGGACGAATACATAAATTTTAAGCAGCTCTTCCGTTTTCTGATATAAACATGGTGGCGAAGGACTGCAAAAAAAAAATATATGTATATATTTACGATAGGAATGTTTTATTAAACTGTCCTCATGTCTCTTTGCCCTTTTAGATACACTCAACGAAATAAGTATCCACCTAACTCATTCTTAAAATACTATTTCGCCCTTATTTCAAATTTACCATAGGTAATATATTGCCGAGTCAGTTTGACAAAAATCTTGAATTATTTTTATTTTCGAGTTGGGATAAAATATTCGTGCCCAAAAATTCAAAATGTTTGCCATTAGTCAAATAAATTTGAGACTTCTTAGACATTTTTTTGCGACATGTATCAAAATTAGGATGTATTCATTATAGTATCTCCAAAACACAATTTATTTACCTTATGATAAGAGAAAATTGTGTACATTTGAATGAATTACAAAATAATTATAAAAATATAATAACAATAAATAAAGACGTGTAATGCATTGTAGTACGTAATATTATCCAAAACATAGAACTAAAATCACTAATTACTCTTAATACTTCAATAAATATAACTATTTACTATAAATATTAATAGCATTATATTTTTAACATTCAAGCTTTTAATTAATTAATTTAAAAGAATCATTTTTAATATTCACTATCAAATTCTGTATTATTTTATTTTTAATAGATAATATCCTTATTGGTAACGTAAATTTACTAAACGTATATATTTCTAATGTTTCTGCTGAATATTAATAATTATTAAATATGTATTTTAAATTTGTTGATTATAACAACTTAATATGATATAATTTAAATGTATTACTTAACAAAACTTTGTATATAATCATACTATTATCTTCAACATCTTATTTTCTTTTAAAATTTAAGAAGCAATAAACGGAATTCTATTAGTTTTTAAATATAAAGTTTCTATCGCAAAAGAAAAAGCAAGAAAAAAAGATAACTCTTCTTATCTAGCTTTTGTTTTCAGAACCATATGAAAAATCTGTATTTATCGTGATTTATTTGTAGTGTTTCACATTTTCTTGCACTTAATGAGGATAGTTCTACATTTTTATTTTAGTTTTACTCTATATTTCTTCTTATTTTATTGTTTATTGTAGTAATTAAGTTTTGATGATATCTTCGGGTTGATTATTTATTTTTTAAACTATAAACATAAAATATATATTTTATTTATTTGATAAAAAGCGCACGACAAATATATGTCGGTTTAACAAATAAAATCTTATAGATTGTTATTGAGGGTAAAACGGACATAGCATAAAAAAAAAATTAACCATTCTATAATATTATTATATTCAAAGTTAAAATATTTTAATAATGAATGTATCAGACTATTGCGATAAATTTAGTTAATCACCTGTGTAATGATATTCATAATACGTAATAAAAGGTATTATAAAAATCATCAACAATAATACTAAAATATTATTTTATCACTCATAATATTATTACAATTTAATCTAATAAATATTATACTTTAAGATTAATATAAAAAAAAAAATATATATATATATATAATACGAGGAGTTCATAATTGATGATAACGTTATTTTTGATTCATTATACCTGTTAAACATTTTTCTGTTGCGTAACACCTCTAATAATCATAATACATCAAATTTTATCTTTAAAAAAACTATTATTAAGCTCGCTATGCTATTATTTTTTCCACCATTCTGTAGTTTTAAAATAGGTTTAAAATTTTTTTTTACGAAGCTAGTCATTTAATATTAAGTTAAATATGTTTCAAGGTTCTTATAATTTAAATTATTTGTTTATATATTTTATATGTAAATGTTATTCGATGAATTATATTTGCATCGTATCAAAATATAATATTAATAAAAATGACAACATAAATGTATACAAACAAGCCTATTTTTAAAACTATAAAACCACGAATTTAAGGAGAATTCACCCCTAAATATCATTAGTCTATATTCAATTATATTTTATTATACTTCGAGAATATTGCCTATGGCATATAAATTGAATACTATTAGGGACGATCGAAGAGTTTTCCGCCTACTTCGTGATAATACTTTTTAAACTTTATTTATTAAAAAGTTAAAAAACTTTATAATTTTATACATTAATTTAATTAAGGTACAAATATAGATGGATGTGTGGTTAATTATTTCGTATATTATAAATGTATGCGTGAAATCAAAGAAATATTTGTTATAACATTTTATTTCCTCTCAAAATTCAGTTCTGGGTCTGCTACTTAAAACCAATCTCACCAGGCTATATTCATTGACATTTAAATACGAGTATTATTATTATTATTTAACTTACGAAGATAACTTTTATATTATGACTACCCAATGGACATGCAATGTCCATACATTGCTATAGCCATAGTTAATCCTACAAAGTATCTTATAAGACTTATTTATAAACCCTATAATTTAGAAATATGTAAGACCTTAACATCTCTATATAAGTGATTTAACTTTTAATCTTCATAATTTTTGTAATCTATTAGTAGATCTAATAGTATTTTTTTTTTTATGTAAGTAGATTTTATGAATATTTTATTTTACATAATTTACTTTTATAAACATAAATTCACCATGTTTTATAAATTAAGATAACAGATTTACCCTTAAAGTAATTTTTGATTAATAAAAATTGAATATTTAGTATAATAGGCACAACTCATAACAAATTACGAATAGTGTATTAGGTATTTCATCTTAAATGACGATATATTTTATATTTACTATTACATTTAAAATGCATTTAACTGTATATGAACTTGTAAGTACTTGGAATTTCAATAAAAAATAAACAGTCTATTAATATTATTAAATAATTATTATTTAAATAGTATATTATATAAAAAATATTAAATATTATAATATAATATTATATTAATTAATTTTAAATATTTATATGTATTATAATCGATGAGTATGCATCAAAAGTTTACTAATTTTACTTAGTAATTAATTATGTTATTCTAGAACAATGCGACTTTTGTTTTATTTTGATATATATATTATACTCAGGTGACTTAAATACCCTCCGAACTAGATATTTTAAATAGTATTTGATGATTAAAAGAAAGAAAAAAACAATCTTATTAATAACTGCTTAGTTTACAGTATGTGAAACACAAGAAGGCTATATACTTGAAAAAATTAGAAATATTTTTTTCTTTTGAATCTTAACCTACTATTATTTTCCAACTATCTAAAGTATTTGGAACACACACAAAAAAAAAAAAGAATTATACGAAAGAAAACTTGCATCGGTACTTTTTGAACCTTTTAACTTCACCCGGTATAGCCGAACATTTATACGCTTCGTCCACGCCTCTAGGCAAAGACTTTTATAACAGATGATGTAGACTGGGCGAAACTTTTCCAACGGGTTTTTACTGAACTAAATAACAAAAACAGCGGTGACGACAAAAAAAAAAAAAAAAGAAGCACATTATTATCCTGCACCAAAGTTGGATGACTTACATGTACCTACTAAAGAAAAATCAAAACTTCTTGCCAGAACAAAATGAACCGTATTTTTGAATGTAGGCCAAATGTAGTGGTGACAATTATTTAAAGAAATTTCTAGATTTATTTATTTTAATATCAATTATACTACGGTATAATTTAAAATAAAAGTTATTTTAATATAATATTTACATGTACTGAAAAAAAACATGTGAAAAATGATTTGAATGATAAATATCTTAAAATTACAAGAGAAATACATTTTATATGAAATGATTACTATATCAATGTAATAAAACAATTAATATTTTACTAGTAGTGCTGATAATAAAAAATTATTATTATTTTTATTGTGGGTATAAAATAGATCTATTTTTATTTTTATAATAATTTTATTTGAGAATATTTTACTTAGACCTGAGTGAGTTAAAAAATATATTATTTATTTTTTTAAAACTATGATTCTTCCAACAGTTAAATTAAATTAAAAAAAAAAAATAATAATAAGAAAAGATTATAATGATTTATAATTATCACTTACCACGTCTATTATTTGCATGAGCATAAGGCTGAAACTTAATTGCAGTGGTTCCGATTCATTAGCTACTGGCCTTTCTAGTGTGTTGTAAGGATCTAACAAATCGTTGAGCAATCGCTTTTCGTGAGGTCCGCATAGCGTTTCTGTAAAATGCAAAACAAAAAAGATTACCACACAGTAGGTAAACAATGCATTTTATGGCACTACTCTTTGGTATAGGCTGAAATGATATTATAATTGTAAAAAGCCAATAATAAAAAAAAACCTATACACATGCATTTACGAGCGCATGAAATATTGTTATTGTAGCGTAAATACATACGCACGGTTGTACTCGTATTTATGCTGATGAATCGGGATGTTTGTAAATAACAAAGTGTAGGAATGTCATAGTCTGCACGGCTAGACAGTACGCGGTTAGTCTATTCGAAATAGTTTTGTAACTGGGAAAATATGTTGGAGGGTGAATGTCGACGTAGGTCGTACGGCGTACAAAATGGCAGCAGCGGTGGAGATAAATTACATTTATTAAATTATTAGCTGACGATTGTCGCAGCGTGACAATACTCTTCGGACATTCCTAAATTTCCAGCGCCTGAATTGCTGGGTTATAAATTCGCGTGCCACCCCCGACGACATCGTTATGACGTTCATCCCCATACACGCATTTCAACCATTACACAATTGGTTCGTAATTAAAACGGCTATGTTCACGCAGAAAACCGACCACATCCTGATGATAAACGATTAGTCGCTCATACCTACCACAATCGCCGACCGTTTAGATATATACTCGTTCATATACTTTTGATATTGTTATTTTTTACTTATACCGGTTGAGAAAAAAATCAAAAATCAAATATTAATGTCGCAGTGTTCGTATTCGTGCATATACAACTATTGTCGGTATCGTGTACCACGCACCGCTGGCAGTTTTGCTATCATACCATGTTTTAACATATAATTTGTGTAAATCGTGAAAAAAAAATTGGTCGGAAGAAAACAATAAATGATTTACGAATAAGTGATTTTGATATTTTTAAAAATACAGTAGAACCCCTCTCGATCGCCTTCGGCTAGTCCGTCACTCCGTTTAATCCTACTGTAGTATTATCGATATGAATATGGATTTTCATATTTATAGTATGTGGCTAGATATATTTATAAAATTAATTACCGTTTACTATTTATCCATTTTTTATTTATTTTATTATTTAATTATTTATTTAATTTAATATATGTATGAAATTAAAAATAATATTTAAAATAATTTAATAAATAAATTTGGTAACATTTTGTCTTCAAATGTTTTTTTATATTTTGATAATCTGACCTTTTTCGCGTTCCGACCACACCCCCAGTCGCGAAGGTAACGGAGGTGAAAAGAGGTTCTACTGTATATAGACCATACAAAAATCTATCGTTTTGATAATACCGTTAGAACAAAACCGTTAACAAATTAAACATTAGTTATCTTAATATTGAAGTAAAATAAAAAATAAACAAAAAAAAATAGAACCAAGTTTATTAAATGTGCTCGACTATATTGTGTTCATAATTGAAAAATTTAGAGTAAAAATACTGACGATTATTTTGTTTCGATTAAAATTACTCAAAATTTTCAGAAATTGAGTATCTACTACTAATTATAAATACATCAATCTCGTTTAAATTTGTTTCAGTTATTAACTAATCAATTTACCGTAGATATATGATGGTAATATCTACTGCGAAAATTACTCATGTTGTATTGATTATTATTGGGTTAACTATGTTGACTAATATTTTAGATTATTTGGAATTTTTTTTATTTTAATTAAATAATGATATATATATATAAATTTAGACGGAACCTTTTTTTCTTTTAAGAATAAAATATTTTTTTTATGTTAAATTCAATTCCCTATTAAGAATAGTATAACTGAATACTTTTCATAGATCTTATTATTTTTATCTTAACTGTTTTACGTGATAAATGTGCTCTATGCTTTTTAATACATTCTGATCAAATATATTAAAGTTCGAAAAAAAAAAACAATAAAACCAGCTTTAAACGGAATTTTTTACGTAACCTTTATTTTTTTGTACATAAATTCAGCAGCTAGTTACACAGTTATTATCCAATCTGGTACCATATAAATCGTTCTAAAAAGTTTTGTATAAACTTTTTTCGCGTCTGTTATTATATTTAGTTTTCTATCAAAACCAGTCTCGGTAAGAGTAAAATAAAGGGCAAAAAAATAAAAATAAAAATAAAATAAAAGAAAAAAAAACGATAAAAAAAATACTAATGGTTGTTACGGACAAATACGAAAAGTCTGAACATGTCTGTATGCATGTATATTTATATAGTTCTCTCGTTCAGCAAGTCAAAACTTTTTAATCGAGTATTACATTGTCAATAAATTAACAAAGTACGTGATACCTTTTTATTATCGAAGTAAAAAAAATGTAATAATAATGTAAAAAAAAAATCGAAAGCTACAATGAAAAATGTCTCGGATGATAATCGAGATCCTTTTTTTATTTTAGATTGAACAAAAGCGAATACAATTTTTTTATTTTGTTGTAGATGGAATCTAATACTTATTTTTTCTTGTGGCTCACGTACGAAAAAGTTAATACGATATATCCAGTTAGTGATGTCTAAAATGAAAATGTTAAAGAATAATAATACCCAGACTTCAAATACGCCTAATCGATTGGAATCTGTCTCTTTTTGACAAAACCTTTATGAAGATGAGAAAGGAAACGGTACTTGGCAAACCATAAGTTTTTTTTTTAAACCTTCCTCGTAACTGGCGATTTAAACGTGACCGACATGGTAACGAAAATACATAGTGTTTGTCATAGATACTTTCGGAATTTATTATTAATTTTGCTTTCTCAGGATTCAAGACTAGTAATACAGAACACCTCTTACATGTCACAAAATTCATAAGTTTTACAATAAAAATATATATACATACGAGTGTATATAAATTATATCAATATGAATACATATTATTATGTATATATACTGGGATTTATTGAGATAATCGTTAAGTTTGTCATTTATAAAATGCAAATATATATCTTATATATTAAATATAACACAAATATTAAATTGGTTATATTAAAATCGTTTGATCAATATTCATCTACATTCTTATCATATATTTTGTTATGTCTATTATAAATTTTCTACAATGCAATTTGAATGACGTGGTTTTCTAGTTGTTTCAAGTAACTAAAACTCATTTACTTATTGAATTTTTTGATTAATCTTTTATTTATCAATTTATTCATGGAGTGGATTAAACTATCGTTATACGAGTATAATGTGTATTACAAATTATACATTTTAAAAAAATGCGAGAAAAGTTTTTATAAAAATTAATATTTGGTTATCGTTTGCTATAATTTTGAACTATATATAATGTATTTTTTCAATGAATATAATTGACATCAGTGTCACTCAAAAATTATACATATAACTTGTAAATTATAAATTATTTTTTGAATCGAGTATCAACTGTAATTATTAGCTTACATTAAATCTGAAAGTATTGAACAAAAGTTAAATAATTCTTGACATCATGAGCTGCAATAAATTTTAGAATCAATTTTTATCATAATAGTGACAATACATAACATTTATTAGTTTTAATCAAATTACTAGTAAGGTTATTGTTTGAAGAATTTTTTTTCACTTTATTATTGTTATTCATTATATGTCAGTTAAGATAAATAATTTTTTTAGGAAATTTAATTTTAGTTTTGGATTAAAAAATAATATAATTTTTGTTTTTTTTAATTATTACAAAAAAATTTTTAAAAACGCTTTCAAATAACTTTCAAAGTTTGCGAACAGAAAATGAATAATTTGGATGGGTTAATATACTATAGAGTATTATGTTTATATGAACGTGTACTAAGTACACATACATATGCATACTTACATTTGTATACATTTATGTATAGTGAATATTCAAAACTGCACTGCCCAATTAATCCATTCAACCCTTTAGATTGGCAGCTAAAGCTTAAAAGAGATACTTCCGGTCAAAAGTTGGTGAAGGGTTATTATAGTGTCCCAATAACAGCTGGTTTCATATCATGTGTTTACCTTTTTATTATAGGTTTATTATTTTTTAAGAGTCAACAATTTTTTCACGTTAGGATCTTAGGATTTACCATGTTATCTGTAAACTTTTTATTAATGTCCAAAACGTTTAAAAGTCATTAAAAAAAAAAAAAAAAAAAAAAAATTGAAAAAACAGAAACAACAAACTATGTTTCTTTAGGAATACTAAATCACTGGAAATCATAATTAAAAACAAAATTATTGAACTAATGGTTAATGGAAATGGTTTTATTAGAAGAATTTGAACTGCTTCTGACGCGAAGATAACACAATTCGTTCACCTAATTAAAAATTGTCGGACTTTAATGAGAAATTTTTGTGACAAGCTCCAAAGTCAGACAAATAGAATGTCAGGTCTGAAATATTCTTTTCTATTTTTTTGAACGGGTTTTATTAAAAAGTAGTAAAATTCCCCAGGCTGGGTGGTTTTCAATTTGAGGTTTTAAGACGATGCAGAGCCTCAGGTGACATTACTAAATTTTGTGTCAACAATAATCTCCAATTTCAACGAAATGTGAAAAGTTTCAATCAAAGTTATGGGATGGGGCGAGAGACAATCGATTGCAAAATGAAATTACAGCACAAACTAACAATATGCTGTATGTTAATATCACTTTAATTTCATATATTTTAAGTAGGTCAGTCGCTTTGGTGTTGAGAAATTGTTTTATTAAGAATGTTTTCGAAGTATTTTTATTAAATTTGTTAACTGGAACTGTCATTACAAGTTCTATTAAACGTATGCAGTTATTAACGACTGGAAATAATGACACGTAGATTTTTTTGACATGGATAGTTTTAATGTTATCGTTTTGCCGTAAAAGTGTATATGATCCGTAACTTTATTACGAGTAACGTTTATTCGTCGATATAAAATTGATTGAGTTCATCAATTCTAAATACAATTTTTTTTTCGCACTTTTATATAAAATAGTTGTACAAAATGCATACATTAACCCGAAACGGTAATACGATTATGATTTATGTAATGCTATATTTGATCTCACTTTTATTTAA